CTATAGTCTGACTTTGAGGGTATCTGGAAGGAAAGACAGCGCAGTTACCTCAGGAAAAAAAGAAAAACAACTTTATGCGTGTTTAGGATCCTCTTTCCCTTAGCAAAAAGTAGTTTATTCTTAAACTATTTGTGTATACTACACTTATTCTATACTTAAAATCAGGCAGTGCCCTTAGAGTTTACTTATTCTAATCTACAATTTTAATCATATGTACATTCTAACAGCGAGAGAAATAATCCCAAAGAAAATCCCAGAAATTCACAACATATGAATTTATAAAAATTGATAACCATCTGATGAGGAAAAACAAGTATTTGACCCCCTACCAAACAGCAAGTATTCTGGCTCCTACAAGCCAGTTAGTCTTNTTATTTCTGCATTTACATTAACTGATGCTGCATTCAAAGGAAAGCATGAGAGAGAAGGTTATTACGTCCAAAATTAAGTAAAAACATTTAATTGACTAAATTCTAGCAGGTCATGTCTAATCCACACGGTAACTGATGCTTTTTGTTTATGAAATTGTTTGATACTTTTAGTTTGTAACATGAGGCTAGTTAGCACTAGTTAAATACTTTAATTGGTTTTATTTGTTGTAATAATTGTTTTGTCTATGTAGCTTTTCCCCAACTAATTCCATCATCCAGTAATGCTACAGGCTCTGCGAGATTGCTGGATAATTGCAAAGCAACTCTCAGGCATGACTTTTCTGAGGAAATGCATATAACAATAAGAGAAATGTGGACAGTGTTGCCCCGAAGAGTCACATGTATGAAGGGCCCTGTATCAGACATTAACTCTTTGGAGCCATAGAGACATGGCAGACTAGTCCACACTCAGGTTTTTATTATTACCAAACCTAAATCAGTATCGTCTTTCTATTTTTTTCTTCTTTTTCCTTCAGTAGAAAGCAGACAGGATATAAAGCTTTACACAACATTCTCACTGTAGTCCTTATATCGAGAAGAGCTATATAGAAAGAATAGACACGCCCCGCACTAAAATACAGCTTATTCCTCCTCAACCGGGTCAAAGTCTGAAGAAACCAACGAAAAGCCTACAGCGGATCTAAAACTCAGGCGATCTTACATCAAAATTTGGATAAATCCTTGTGTTTTTATTTCATTCTCAAACTGATGGATCTACTTAGAGGCAGGTTTTTCCTTCTACTGACCATCCTCACTGTAAGTAATGACGTCTATCTCATTAAAAAAGTTATTTACAGGAAAAAACAAGGGGAAGCCGATCGTTCTACAGGTGTGGTCTGTAGTCTGACTTTGAGGGGATCTGGATGGAAAGACAGCACACTTATCTCAGGAAAAAAAAAAACTTTATGCATGTTTAGGAAAAAGCAAAAAGTATTTTATTCTTAAACTATTTGTGTATACTACACTTATTCTATACTTAAAATCAGGCAGTGCCCTTAGAGTTTACTTATTCTAAACCAGGCATCCCCAAAGTCAGTCCTCGAGGGCCGCTGTCCTGCAGGTTTTAGAGGTTGCTCTGCTCCGGCACAGCTGATTTACATTGATAGCTGATTGACAGGCTTTTGCTGAACTGCAATCATAAGAATCAGCTGTGCTGAAGCAGAGAAACCTCTAAAACCTGCAGGACTGCGGCCCTCGAGGACCGACTTTGGGGATGCCTGTTCTAAACTATATTTCACATACA